AGATTAAAGAGTTTTTTTTTTTAAAAAAATCTTTCCTGATTTAGGAAAACTGATCTTGAAGCCTTCTTATGAAATGCTTTGGTTTGGATCCCTTGGGTTCCCTTTGCTGACATTGGCTCCCATCTCCTGATTCTCTGGACTTTTTGCTGCTGAAAGTCGTGGCTGGGAACTTCTGCAGCAACCTGTCCTTGAGTTGCTAGTGTCACTTCATCCAGCCCTTATGGAGAACAGGCAGAGCCAGGGAATTTGCATTTCTCCTGCGTGGTCTAACCAAGGGCTGTCTGATGCTGGGCTACAAAGACCCAGATCCCTTGGTTAGAGACAGGAGCTCCCAGGGTTTGGGGCTAAGACCAGCACTTTACCTAATTGTCCTTTATTTCCTTCTCCATCCTATTTCCTCCATCCCTTACTTGCCTCTCCCAGGAGCGCTTTGTGAATCCATCACTTGGCCAAGCATCTGCATCTGAGCATGCCCAACCTTAGACAGAACTTTACTCCTGAATCAAGCTCTCCTGTTTTATCCAAGAGAATCTAGAGTCAAATATGGATACTCGTATCTAGATGATAGAGGAGGGGAAGTTTAACCTCCCTCAGACTTTATGGAAAGAATATTAGCAATGCTTATATGTTCTGTTCTTTGCAGAGTTGTAGGCATATGTCCTGAGGATAGTGAAAAGGGACATTTTCAGCGATGCAAATCCAGGGCTAAATGGAGGAAAAGTCCAAGAAATACATGCAGCCTTTCACTGAATGCCTCCAGGGTTCCAGGTTCTGTGCAAAGTATACACATACCAATTCATTTCATCCTCAGTATTAATCTGCAAGAGATCAGTAAAATTAATAGCCTCACTGTAAAGATGGGGAACCTGAGTCATAGAGCATTTCAGTAGTTGGTGTGATCATACAGCTAATAAGTGGCTCTATCCACTTCCCACACAAGAATTCCCCAATTCTTGAGGCGCTTCCAAGTCCCATTCTGTACCTTCGGAATAATTTGACATGGACCTCTAGGAGCCATAAACTGCCATTTAACACAGACAGGACTTTCTGGTAGCATGAAGGTGACCGAGACAAACACATTGTCCCCGCCAGAGCAAAAAGGAGAGCATTTTCCTGCTTCTTGCCTTGCCTGGTAAACATGGGGAGGTAGGGGTGGGGTGAAGGTGGGGACTGTCATTCACTGTTGCTCTGAGAACAAAGCATGTCTGACATTGCAGGGAGAGCCCCGGGAAGCATTTCAAAAGCTCCACTGGAACTAGACAACCTTTCAATCCATTTATCAAAGCGTCTGCAGTCCCTGTTTCAAGGTAGATGAAGCAATAATAAATTTGCGAAGAAAGTTAATCTGTGTCCAAAGCATTTTAGTAAATTAAAAAGGGGGGGGGATGTTGGCTGGAAGGGGGATATATTGGTTCTTGCCAACTCCTGTTTGACTTACTGTCTCCTTAATAAGTCCTCTCTGGTCTGGTGTTTTTGGATGGAATAATCAGCCAGTTAATCATTTTCCAGAAGCAGGAAAATGCACTTTAGCTAATGCAGTTCGCCTTTCTTTCAGAATCCTAATTATTTAAAAAGGCATCCCAATCGGGAACCCCACTTCCCAACCGAGAAAGCCTTTCCCACCAGCCATCTTCCTTTATTTCCCCAGAAACTCCCAGCTCATCATTCTTTCTCTCACCCTACTCCAACCTCATCCCGTCCATCTAAGGTTAAAAAAAGAAAAAGCAAGTTCCCTTTCCCTGGTCACTTTTGAGGGAGGCACTACACCCCCAACAAGCAGTTGACCGGAACTAAGCTCGTGGGCACTATGGATAGATTTTGTTATTTTTATTTAAGTGTCAGCCAAAAATGGTGGCTCTTGTCTCTCTCAAGGATAGTACTTAATAGCTCCATGCTCTGGCATCACGCTGAGATAGACACACTATTAGGAATCCCCACAAAGGCCCCGAGATAATTGTGAAGGGACAGTTACCGAAAATGAAGCGCCCAGCCCTGAACCCTCCTCCACGCCCCATCAGTAACACCATTAAAGCTGTCAGTTTGTCAGCCCACTGGAGGTATTTATGAAATCAATATACAGTCCCGCAGATGGATGGCAGCGGTATTGTTAGCCAGAGAAGAGAGGCTCAATGGAAAATAAAATTAATAAAATTTACAAGCAGATTGTCATGGGTAGCAGATAAATTCCCTACAATCTACTGTTTTGCTCAATTGCGGCAGGAGGAAAGCCATGGCAGGGAGACGGGAAGAGCTGTACTTTAAACGAGGCTCCTGAAAGTAGGAGCAACCCTGGGTATATTTACAGCGAGAAAACAGTGAAGGGAAACCCAAGTGGCCGTCCCATCCAAGTGCAGGATTTTGTCTGTGTGACCGCTTTCGTGGGAGATTGCCCAGCAACTCCATCAGATTTTTCTGCTTAAATACGGCTGTCCTTTCTTCATCCCGCTGTACTGCAAACCAGAACCCTCATACAATTGTTATTCTTTCAGTATACCGGGGTGCCTTAAACTCAAAGGGTTAATGCATAATTGGGATATGTACCCCTTCATCTGGCTCCCAAGCGTTTTTAGAGCTGATCGTTCTAAACTTCTCTCCTGTATCTTCCACCTGCCCCTGATTTTGATCATTAGCCATTTGCCAAAAGTGTGGCCTGAGCTGTTTTCCAGAGCGGCCAAAACTAGCATCTGAGCCTGGGAGGCTAGCGGGCAGGGGCTTGCTGTCCCAGAGACCAGCCTTCACTTGTCAGAAAAGACTGGGCCCATTGTGGCTGCCGGAGCCTTGGGCATAGCCCAGATGCCTGGTGGAAATTGCATTAGTCAGATGACAGGACCTGGGCCCCTTTCTCTTGGAGGCTGATGGAGAGCAGAGGAGTGGCCTTGGTGACACTGCCTGACCTCTACTGTCATCGTGGGCTTTGTTCAGCGCCCCGACTCCAGGCTGGAGCCCTGCTCATTGAATCAGGCCCAGCCAGGGGAGCCTGCAGTGGGGCCCGCTGTGCATCTGAATTTACTTATATCAGTCACAGGCAGAGGAAAGTGGATTTGAGATGGGGAGCACCCTGTTATTCAGCCCCAGGATTTCTCTTTGTATTCATCTCTGCACCCTACCCCAACTCTGAGCCTTGCCTTGGTATCTAACAGTGGCCCCAGACAATCCCCACATGTCTTGACTTTTAGCCCGCCACTCAGAGTTGCCCGCTCAGTTCAGCTCAGCCGATGAGAGCAGAAAAATGGGCTCCTCTCTTATGCTTCCTATGTTTCCTCCTGCTTCCTGGCAAAATGGTGATTTAGAGGGCCCAGGTTTTAGTGGGGGATGGTTGTCTGACCCCTCTTTCGAAATATATTTGGAGTCATCTATAGCTTTTGATTAGGTGCCCCTGGAAAATCAGTGTGGGAGTGTCCATCCATCTCTAGGACAACACGGCAATTTAAGACGTGTCTACCCTGTGACCCAGCACATTCTCCTTATAGGACTTTATAGCAAGGAAGTAGCTATACAAGCGTCCTCAAAATGTGTGGGCAGGAAAATTCATCCTGGTGTTTCCTTAAACGGCAAGTAAATAAATACCTAGCGACATGGGATCGTATAGCCATCTATAGAATTGGATGATACACAGCCATTAAAAATGATGGCATAGGGGCTTCCCTGGTGGCACAATGGTTGAGAGTCCGCCTGCCGATGCAGGGGACATGGGTTCGTGCCCCGGTCCGGGAGGATCCCACGTGCCGCGGAGCGGCTGGGCCCGTGAGCCGTGGCCGCTGAGCCTGCGCGTCCGGAGCCTGTGCTCCGCAACGGGAGAGGCCACAACAGTGAGAGGCCTGCCTACGGCAAAAAAACAAAACAAAAAAAATGTTGGCATACATGTACTGTTAATGACAGGAACAGATGTTCTCAATATAGTATGCAAAAAAAGAGGTTAAAACAGACTACATACTATGAGATCAGATTGGTAAAATTTATATATATATTACTCCTAATTGGTAACAGTGGTTGTGTCTGGGTAGGTAATTTTTTACCTTAATATCTGAAGGTTTTTGTGTTCTTTTCAAAATAATGGATATATTTTAAAAAGAATATATATATATATATATATATATATATATATATATATATATATATATGATTGATACACATATATATGCTTGATTACTTACTAAGACCCCAAACAAACTTGGGGTATGAATGAAAACAAGTGCACGTGTTTGGTCCAGCAAAAAAATAAAACCGGAAAACAAAATGAAAAAAAAAAAAATCCATGGGTCTTAGGAAAGGATATTGAGGCTTTGGGGATTCTTAAAGGGGACCCTGGTACAAGACTTGGGTTTGAGCCACCTTCAGGACCTGACACTTTGTCCCTTCCCATCCTTGCTCAGAGCAACATGTTAGCATTGCTAAATGCTACATGAGGTGCAGTGGGACCCCCATTTTGGGTGGGTGTGTGGAAATGCAATTTGAATTCATCATGCCTGTCAGTAGCACGATCCAGGTGGCCCCCAGGGGTCTCTCTGGGGCTCTAGAAAAGCAGAGAGGGTCATCCCCCATCAGAAAGTCAGGATGGCCAGGCTCCATTCCAATCTCAGATGAAAAAGGCAGAGAGAGTCCCTGAGAAGATGGGAGATTGAGTGGTGTTGACCCTGCGGTGGGGGAGGGATGCTGTGCGGAGGCGGGAGGAAGGGGTCATCTCTGGGAGGTGGCAGAACAAGAGAATTGGGTGTATTGTGTGTGCCACAAATAACCCAGCACTTGGCTCGTGGCCTGGAGGTGTGAGACCACCCACAGAGCCCGCCCTGGAGGCCAGCCGCTGGCCTGGTAACCATTTCAGCAAGGCCATCGCTAGAACAATGTGAAGGCTTGTAGCAGCCTGGGGCCTGAGACTAAACAGTCCCCCAAACACTCCTAACCGCAGAGGCAGCCTCCAGAGGGGTTTTGTTATCATAATGAGATGCAGATAAAGCCGGGCCTGGGTCCTCAATGCCTGTGCCTCTTCTCTTCTCGTTTAGAGATCTGAGCGAAAACCAGATCCTGGGGATCCCGAGGAAGGCGTTCCGAGGCATCGCAGACGTGAAGAACCTGTAAGTGATGTTTCTGTTGCTTCGCTGCAGGTGTGGTTCTCCAGCCAGAGCAGGCGTGAGGGACACGGGACAGGGAGGTGGTATCCCTGTGACTTGTGCCCTCAGTCCAGGCGCCTTTGAAGACAGATTGAGGGGTGTGCTTAAGTGGTTTCCAGGGAACACACGTCGAGCACCACGGCAGCTCCAGGGAGTCTTGTTCTTCTCTGGAGATTTGTCCCCAGGTATGAACATAGAGTCCCAGACCTGAGTCACAGCCTGGCCGCACTCTGTGGGCCTGGGGCTCAACTCAGCTTCTCCCAAGGTCATTACCTTCTATAAAATAGGGATGATAGCCTGGTGGGGTATTGATGCAAATGAGAAAATGTTTCTAACGCTTAGTGCCTCGTACATAGTTAAGTGTTCTGTAAATGGGAGACAAAGATCATGATGGTGAAGATCTCACTGTTAGGATCTGATGAGGGAGAGTCAGGACCTGTGTCCCAGGATCATGGGGAGACATAGCCAGATCTACTGCACTAGGTGCTTGGGGTTTTTCTTAATTTTTATTTTGAAATAATTATTGATTCACAGGAAGTTTCAAAAATAGTGGACTAGTCTGTGTTCGCTTTTACCCAGTTTTCTCCTAGTGGTAACACCCTGTATAACTCTCATATAATATTAAGCCAGAAAATTGACATGAGTGCAACTCACAGGCCTTATTCTTCAGATGTTCCAGTTTTACACACGCTCATTTGTGTCTGTGTGCACACATGTGCGCATGTGCAATTCTGTGTCACTTTATCACGTGCAGATTCCTTTGCCCATTACTGCAACTGATGCAGAACTGTTCCATCACCACGCTTTTGAACTTGCTAAATAACCTTTGTTGTTTCCTACCTGGCCCCCTGCTGTCTGCTGCTTATCATGACTCCCGGGCCCTTCCCTTCACGAGGAGTGTGCCTCCTGAATTTTCTGTCCACACCACTGTGCCCATGTGTTTTGGAGAGGGGTACAGAGAAGGCATTTCTGCCCACTGACCTCCTCCACAGGCTTGCATCCAACTCGAGAAGTCTTGAAGGAGATTTTTTTTAAAACTGCTTTAGCTCTTAGTTCTCCCTGTAAGTACTGCAGGGATTTTGGCGTGCCGGGAAGCTGATGTTGGCTTCCTGATACAAGCTATGTGCCTCCCCTTTGCCGAGAACCGAGCAGAAAGCTTTAGACGTTTGACATGCAAAGCACACCAGAGGGCAGAGGCATCTGGGGTGCAGGGAGCAGGGAACAGAGAGCACTTTGCAAGGGGCTCCAGACAGCAGGCTACCCATTGCTTCATCTGGGAGCATTTGCCCAGAAGCAGGAGCGGGCCGGGAGGAGCAGACAAAGCTGCAGAAAATGTGACTCGAGATGGTGCACATAAAGCAAAACTAAGAGGTTGTGTTGATTAGCATCCCAGAAAAGCAAGACGAGAGGGGAACTTACAGATCCAATAAAACCCCACAGATCAGCAGTGAGAAAATTGAGGACCAGAGAAGGGCAGTGACTAAAGTCAGCCAGTTTCTTGATGGTTGAGCCCTAAATTAATATCTTACATACATAAAGTGGTATATCTATCCTATCTCACGGCTCTAATTTTAAATGGGCCAGTTAATAAGAAAACATATTGTGGTGATAGATAAGCAGGGCTGTGTAATTACCAACTACATTTTTGATTCTCAAGAAAGTGAGTCTTGAGACTCACAGTGTTCCTCAATAGTTGCTGGGGTTTGGGGGGGCGGTCATTGTTGTTGTTTTCCTGTACTGTCTCTAACTTCACAAAGGCCTCAGGAGCTAAAAGTGTTAAGAGTCCACAAACTCAAGAGCTACGGACAGGCCCTCCTCCTCCACCTGGATGTGTGTCCTAAACAGCAAGGATCTAGTGGGACAGGGGAGGAAAGGAAACTCACTGCTTAAAGGCTGAATTAACCAACAAAACGAAACGGGTTGGTTACTTTATACTTCTCATCAGTTCAGTCACCATACTCTGGGGGGGCCAGAACTTCTAAGACCCAGAAGTGTTAATTCTCAGGTGACTTACGGTATAATTGGGAACAAGAAACGTGCATACGAGAGGAAGTTTAATAATTTAACAGTCCACAGCAAAATGGTCCAGTGAGTGGCCAGGCATTATGAAGGACTGTCAGAGCTCAGAGAAGAACAGTAGCTTTAGGCAGTGTCGCCCAAAGGGTGGCCATCTGATAAATCTGTGTCTGGTTCCCAGCTGTTCTGCGTACTGAGTCTGTGACCTCAGGTACGGTACTTGACACTTCTGAGCCTAGATTTCTTCCACAGGGAGAGGAAGATGAGAATTGTACCTGACCTCTTAGCAGTCTTGTGAAGGTGAATGAAATGATGTGTATGAATAACTCAGTACTATGCTTGACATGTGGAAGGTGCTTAGAAAGCTCTAGCTACTATTACTGCTGTCTTCCTTTGTTGTTGTTATAACTGTAAAGACTTTCTCGGAGCCTGGAATGATGACTGGAATTTGCCGAATGAACAGGCAAATAGTGTGTGCGGAGTAGGGGGGGCAAACCTATACAAGGTGTGTTTTAAGGGACCTACGCCGAGCCGTCTTATGGGAGTGGAGGGATTATGACGCGGAGTAATAGGTGATCAGGTCAGAAAGAGAAGTGGGGACCAGGTGGTGGCGAGCCTCGCCTGCAAGGAGTATGGACTTTAGATGTAGGTGCTGAGAAGGTGCCTAGCTTCCGGTCTGGGAAAGATCATGATGAAAACATTGATTCTGGAAGAGGAACCTAGGACAGGAGAAGGTGGAAGAAGGAAGGGGGCGGTGGGAGATGAGGCTGTGGTCCAACGTGAGGGATCAGGGCTCGCAATCAGGAACGAAAGGAGGAGCCCCCAGTAAGACGCCAGTGGGGACTGAGGCAAGAGAAGTGGCAATCCACGAGTTACTAGAGGCCAGGAAAGGAAGGGGAAAATGATAAGTTCCATATTTAGATGACACAGAGAATGATGGCACATTCTCATAGTCCTTCATCCATGCAGCCCTCAAAATGTTTTTCGAGCTCCTACTAATGCCAGTTCTGGGGGTGAATGCAGGAAATAAGATATGTATCTGTGAGCTCTGCCTTCTTGGAGCTCCCACTCCACAGAGGTTGAAAGATCAGGGGAAGAACAAGGCTGGAAGATGATGAGTTGAGTGTAAAGTAGTGTCACGTCTTCCACAGGCAGTGTGGGCGGAGCGTCTTCTATGTGTTGGTGAGCTTGGCATCCTGCCCTGTTTCTACTGGTTATGTGACTTTGGTCTGTGACCACAGCTACATCTCTGGTTTGACTAAGAGGGAGTGAAATTAAATAATCTTGTGGCCTTAAGAGAAGATGAAGTGTGGGTAATTGGAGGTATAGGACCCAAGCTGAGGAGCAAGTTCAGGAAGGGAGGCATCTGGGTAAAGGTTGTTGACTGAAGTTGTGCATTTAAATACCCGTCAGTACACGTAAAATACAAGACGCTTTGCAGAAATTAAATTTGTATAAAACCTGTTAAGGAAACACCCTCCTCTGACCAGACCTCAGTTACCCACTTGTAGAGATTGTCTCTTTTGTGAGTGATGAGTAGTGAATTTTAAACCTCAGGAATGTACATCCCTGTCATCGATCTGTTTATAGTCCACCTGCCAGCCCTCGAACCTTCTCCGTCACCTTGTGTGAGCTCAGGGAATATAACACTCTTCTACTTGTTACTTAAGTAAAATAGGAGAAGATGATAAATTATTGGAATGTCAGGCTTGAAATACCAACTGGGCCTATTCATGATACCATATGCTTCACTAAGAGGAGAAAATCAAGGATTGGCTATTTGTTGTTTATAATTTTGTAGTTTTGATATGGATTTTTCTTTGCTTGTCCTGACAGTCCCCCTCAAGAAGGAAGAGACTGTGTTACCCCTATTTTCCAGATGGCAAAATTGAGTTTTGATCAGTGTGTATAATTTAGTAAAAGTCAGCAGACACCATTGGGCTTAGGCCTCCGCACTTAGCCTGCCCTTGGTAACCCACCCAACCGTCTCTGGACTCAATCCATAGACATTGCTGTCTACCCAGAGTACTCCCTACTCAGCCATGCTAGCAACAGGAAAAAGGAAAAAGGAACCAAGGAGGCTGCTGGCAGTTGGAGGCCTGATTCACAGAGGCAAGTAGGCAAGCATACAGCTGTCGTCAGAGGCAAGAGAAAGGACCCAGGGGGGTGTTTGAACCTTGTAATACTGGTGCTGGAGGGATTTGACGCCCTGCCCCTACCCAGGCAGTGGAAGGAAGCCCCTAATTGCTTCTGCTTCTCCAGAGAAAAGAGAAAGTAATTAGCTGGGGATACCACTCTCTGCAATTACTAAAAGCTGGTTTTATGGGCTGATCCCACTCTGCTGCCTGTCTGGGAGGGGGAAAGGTGCTATATTTAAAGGGAGATGAGATGGATAGATTGATCTGGAGAAAGAGGCACTCAGGTAGACTGACCAGTAGATAGACCAACACTTGACATGCCATTATTCCCTGCCTACCATATGCAAATGCCGTGCTAGGGATTGGGGAAGATACAGTGAGAAAAAGAAGGGGAGAGAGAGAAAAGAGAGAGAGAGAGAGAGAGAGAGGGAGAGAGATAATTGTAAGACATAGAGATAGGGGGAAAATGAATTGGGCAAAAAGAGAGATGACAAGCCACAATCCCACAAACCATAATAAGAAAAAGACAAAACCAGTATAGATTGTTTTCTAAAAAAACGCCCCCTTGCTCTATCTTTCTCAGCAGTTATGTTTTCCTCTGTTTTTCAGTTTCTATTTGCGAGGACTCTGTAGGACATGCATTCCAGAAGGGAAAATCAATAACCCCTGTCTCTGCCAGCTAGCAAAATTTGGAACTGACGGTTTCAAAACAAAGCTGGACAGGCGGCCTTTGTGTTTCCTAGTTAGTCTGAGTTGCTTCACTGCCCTCCCGCCGGCCCCCATGAGCAGGCGGTAACCTCGTGTGTGTTT